GCTGCAAGTTATTGCAAATACTTCTTATTTTACCTATCCAGGCCTTTCTTACGTTAAGATCTTATGCCTTGGATTTTACACCATATCCAAGCTTTCTAGAGTCTCCACCTAAGGCAAGCCTTGAAAGGGAATAGGAAATAGTGCCTTACACTGAGTCAATGTATGCCAGTATTGCCTATATCTGGACAGGGGGCTGTTTTCAGCACCCAGGCATTGACTTGTCTGGCTTGCCTCTTTCTCCAGCTCTGAAGCTCCCCCTGCCTCTGATTCTTGTGGGCACAGGTCCCCCAAAACCACTCCCTCCCCCATCCCAAGTCAGACTCCAGGCATACACACCCCGGTGCACAATCGTCCATTTCCTGCCAGTCCCTGACGCAGGTGTAGCTAACTGGATCCGACGAGTGGGCTAGCTCCTGTGACAGGATGCACCTAACCCAACCGTCAATCACCTGATGTCACAAAGACACCAGGCAACCCGTTTGACTTTGCCTGTGCCGCTTGGACTCAAATACCATGCGAAAGGCAGCAAATGCAAATGATCAGCTGGTTGTGGGAACTTGCAAAATGCGGCGCTTTGCAGGAACCGACTGTGCTGATCACACAGGGTCCCCGGACATTTCACCGTCTATTGATCCCTGTGCCACCACTTGATTCCTCGCTGCCACCACCCAGGCCCTACCTGGGACAATACTGAGTCCAGTCAGGGTTAAATTGGAACATAAACTTCTGTTTATTTATTGCAGTTTAACAAGCATGTGGTTTCATAAATCAGTCAATTACAATCATGGGGTGCCTATCCAGACCTATAACTTCCGCTACCTGCTCTCTCTCACTAAACCACCTCTCAGATATTTACTTGTCTTCCTAGCTCCTAACTGTTCCTGACTCAGCTTATTTCACTACACTCACTCAACCTACCTACAGACTCTATCCCAATTCACTCCCACTCCAACCAACCACCCAACTCCCAACGAACTCCTCCCTTCGCCCCTCCTAGAGCTGGTTTTATAGTCCCTCTGACTCCACCCCCTAATTGGGTAACCTGTTAAACTATTTCACCTCCAGCACTCTCATATGTCAACGTCACACCGACAATCTGTTGGTCGCTGGCGCTTGCAAAGCCCGGTGCTCTTGGAAGTTCTTGCATGACCAAGTGCGTTTGCAAAGGCAGAAGCAGCTGGTTGCCAGCATTTGCAAAGTGCTGTGCCTCTTCCGCCGCACTAGAAAGAGTTTCCAATGGGGAACTCCCTATTGCAACTGATCCCAGCCGGGCCTGCTGTCGGCACTGATTAGCGAGCCCCACTTGCGAATGAACAAGCCTCCATCCTAGTCTACAGTCCCCCCTTCTCCAAGTGCACCTCCTCAGCTTTCATTAGCACAGCTCATGTTTGTTTGTTTTGTGCTTTGCTTTTCCCGCCTGCTTCACAGATTTTTTTTAATTTTATTTTATTAAAATACTGCTACAAAACAGGTTGCTACCCAAAATAAATGAGCAGATACGCATTAATACATAAAAGCAGACAAATTGTGAGGAATATTTACAAACAATGGGAGGGGAATTCGAGGCTTCCGATAAACACAGTGGAGATAAACATGTACATACTTAACATAAGCACAACTAAGAAAACGATAACAATTAACTCCGTTTACATCCCTACAGCTGCCATCGAGAACATTTGCTGTTCGGAAGAATCACCACCTGGTAGAACTTTTTCATATCCATCGCTACCTCTTTGCCTGGCTCTAAACAGCTGAAAGTGTTTATGGAGACAGTGGGTGTCTCCAGATGGGTGTTGCTCACGCATGGGATTTTTGCAGCAGACATATGACATCATTGGCACTACATGACACCATCACGACATCAGTGGCAGCCTGTGTGGTGGTGAGGTTTGGGGTGCACAAGAGAAGTGGTAAAGGGTGCTAGAACCTCTTTCACTTAATGAGGGAAGAATACAATTTGGGCTGCATTTTCATGAGAAACTGCACAATTCGTACTTGGGCCAATAAAAACACCTAAACACCAAATCCCTCAAAATTTGCACTTCTCTGAATTTTGCAACACAGTTCCCCAACCAATGCATGCAAAAATGCATTGCGTCTGGATGGATTGCTTGCAAAAAATGGTGCATTAATCAAAACACATGCAAAAAAAATAATGTGCCTGTTAGGGTAAATTCACACTGAATTTTCATGAGGGTTAAAAATAGGAATGATAAATACCTGCAGAAACACGGAGAGCTGAATTTAAGTTTGGGGAAAATGACAGCAGCTAGTTGGACTGTGGAACTACCTCCCACAGGAGCCACAGATAACCACCAACTTGAACGGCGTTAAAAGAGGATTGGACAAATTTACGGAGGAGAAAGCTATTGGTGGCTGTTAGTCAAGGTGGCTCAGCTCTGCTTCCACAGTCAAGAGGCAGCAACACTCCTGAATACCAGTTGCTGGAAACGATACGATATAATACGATAATCTTTACTATCATTGTCCCATGCAGAACAACGAAATTGGAAAAAAAAACTGCATCAGACATTAAAAACCAACAAGCCTGCTATCCCAGCTATCCCAGCCTGGTTAGCCCCCTAAAAACTCTGATACCCCATAATTAAATACAATACACCCCCATAGAGACTACCTTACACTCCGTTTAAAACCAAAATCGCATTTGGATAAAAACTTTCTCAGTCGGCTAGTCCTAGTCTTTATAACCCTGTAACTTCTTCCAGAAGGCAGAAGCTGAAAGAGATCATTTCCGGGGTGCGCACTATCCTGCACTATCTCTGCAGCTTTCTTATGGCACCTGGAAGCATAGATTTGATCCAAGGTGGGAAGAGCACACCCAATTATTCTCTCCGCAGTCTTTACAACCCTGGACAGCATTGCTTTTCCCCTGACCATGCAGCTCCCAAACCACACATAGAGACCATAGAATCATAGAGTTGGAAGAGACCACAAGGGCCATCGAGTCCAACCCCCTGCCAAGCAGGAAACACCATCAGAGCACTCCTGACATATGGTTGTCAAGCCTCTGCTTAAAGACCTCCAAAGAAGGAGACTCCACCACACTCCTTGGCAGCAAATCCCACTGTCGAACAGCTCTTACTGTCAGGAAGTTCTTCCTAATGTTTAGGTGGAATCTTCTTTCTTGTAGTTTGGATCCATTGCTCCGTGTCCGCTTCTCTGGAGCAGCAGAAAACAACCTTTCTCCCTCCTCTATGTGACATCCTTTTATATATTTGAACATGGCTATCATATCACCCCTTAACCTCCTCTTCTCCAGGCTAAACATGCCCAGCTCCCTTAGCCGTTCCTCATAAGGCATCGTTTCCAGGCCTTTGACCATTTTGGTTGCCCTCCTCTGGACACGTTCCAGTTTGTCAGTGTCCTTCTTGAACTGTGGTGCCCAGAACTGGACACAGTACTCCAGGTGAGGTCTGACCAGAGCAGAATACAGTGGCACTATTACTTCCCTTGATCTAGATGCTATACTCCTATTGATCTAGATGCTATACTCCTATTGATAAGTTAATACACTCTCAACAGTACAATGGTAAAATGCCATAAACCACAGAAGGCAAGGGAGCTTTCATGCTCAGGTCCTGCTTGCAGACTTCCCACAGGTATCTGGATGGCTACTGTGAGAACCGGATTCTGGACTAGATGGACATCATGAGCTGGCAAGACACTCAGGAAGGGGAAAGAGGATCCTAGTGAAGGCTAGAGCCAAGATTGCTACACACCAGGGCAAGACGGGAACGAGGAGGTTGGGGAATTCAGAGGTACTCACAGGCCATCAGAGGCTGTTGCGGGGGCAGCTGAAAGTTAGGGGAGCTGGACACATCACCAGAAGTGTCCCCGTCTCTGTGGACACAGCAGGCCCATCAGGAACAGCAGAAAACAGAGGCAGGTAAGGGAACACAGCCCAGCTCACGAGTGGACCAGGTGCAGATGATAGGACTCGTCAGGTCTGGAAGGAAGCTGTGGTCACTCAGCTGGATTAAGCTCAGAGCAGGTGAAGATCACATGCTTCGTCAACTGGAGAGGCACAAGCTCAGGTGCGTCAAACAAGACTGGGGAGGGTAAAAAGAAAGCAAAGCAGAGACTCTGTTTTCTGCTCAACTTCTTCTGTTGATGGACCACAGCTTGGCTGCTTTGGGGACTCCACCAGATTGTGACTTTGGGAATGACCCCAGGTGTTCCAACCCTGGATCTTCTGCAGAGTCAGGAACTTGACCTTGCAGATTGATTTCAGACCTTGCTTGTTGTGTTGGCCCTGGACTGGTATTTGAGCATTTGGAGTGTCTGACTGCTCTCTAGTGTTGGTGTTGGGACTGTGGGCACCATCAGGACTTACACAGAGGTTCAGGACCATGGGCTCATCTGATATTCTTATGAGAAATGGAGAGAAAGTGAGATTGAGAGACTCCTACATCCCCACTTTCAGTCTGGGTCAGGCTAGGTCCAAGGCAAGGCGTTGCACATTTTGTGGTGCTACCCTAAAAAGAGCATTGCCTTCTGTCTTAGATGTGAGTGGAGAGGGAACACGGGCTAAGCCACCCCATAGCAGAGATCACCCAGTTTAAGCTTGTGCAGTTAAGTAGACCCAAGCCTAGAATCAGTCTGATTAGGCTGAGTCATTGTGTTGCTGCAGCAATGAGCTCTGGTAATCAGCCAGAGGGGAAAGTACCTGCACAAACCTCACATTTGCCAGCAGCCAAGAGGAAGTAAAATGCAGGCTCATAATCTTCCCTGTTCCACACGCCACAAAAAAGATCCTTTGACAGGAACACCATGAAAATTATCTCGTTACCTGAACACTGAAAATGTAGATGTAGAATGGAAACGTCAGTGAAAATCATTGAAGTTTGACAAGGTGACATTGAATTTTGACAAGGGGTGTGGGTGGGTGTGGGTGTGTGGGTGTGTGTGACTGGTTCACACACAAAAAGAGCATCCATTGTTTTTCAGATCATTAACCTCCAGGGTTTCAGGTGGGATTCTAGAGATGGCGAGATTTGAACCCAGGACCTTTTGCATGCAAAGCAGATGCTCTACCGCTGAACTATGGTTTTCCCCTCTGGTTTCATAAAGTGAATTTGTAACAGGCTTGTGACTTGAAGCGAGGGATATATAAAGCTCAGAGGTGACTGCCTTGTTGTTTTCAAGCAAAGTTTGCTCTGTTGACTTTTTTTAGCTGAAAATTTAGCACTGCACTATCAGCTAGTTCATTATGTTGCCAGTGCATACATATACTACAGTTTGAAAGTGGAGGCAATTAATTTTAGTTGTTGACTTAAACTTCTGTTGAGAGGTACTTCATTCCCCAATTCTCCCTCCTATAAATAGATTAAGGGTTAGAGGAAAGTCAAGTTCTGCTCATTTGTCCTCCATTGAGATGGATTTCCCATGACTGCTTATCTATCAGCTCCCCCCTTAACACAATTTGCTTCTCAAATTAATTTAGCTCTCTCTGTCTCATTGGTCAGAAGCCAAAACTGAAAATCTCTAGTCTTCTTTTTTGAAAGAAAGAAAGAAAGAAAGAAAGAAAGAAAGCCTGTTTTAAGAACTAATATTTTTTGTAAAGAATGTTGAACAAAGTGCATCTTTATTTGATTTCCTTTTTCTTCTTGAAACGGCGAGGGCTACAAAAATGCCTCGTCTTTCCAACGTGTGGATGAAGAGTCGGTTTGCACATATGGTGCTGGAGGACAACTCGGGGAAAGAGCACACGCATTGCGTGCAGAAGCTCCCAAATCCCCAGCTTCAGCCTCTTCAGTTGCAAAACCAGACATAGCAAAAGACACATGAAGGTGCTTCTAACCATCTTTTTAACTGGTTAGTTAAGATGTGCTCCAAGGACTTAGAAGCAGTAGCGGCTCATCTGGGGGGACAGAGCTGCTTTGCTTGCTTCCTGGCAGATTACTAGGAGGGAGGGTGGGGAGGCTGGTGCAGTGCAACTGCAGCAGCGGGGGCCAGTCTGGTGCACCTGCCAGTGCTTTTGCACTGCTCCAACCTCCCTGCCCCCTTGCGCCTCTTCCTCTCTCTTCCAGTAAGCAAAGGTGGCCCACCTGGCAAGACACTTCCACTTCACACTCATCCAGTGCTTTACCAACTGCGCTGGCTCCTGGTGGAGTACAGGGTCAAGCTTAAGGTGCTGGTTTTGACCTTTAAAGCCCTGTGCGGCCTAGGACCCACGTACCTACAGGACTGCCTCTCCTGGTATGCCCCGCAGAGGACCTTAAGGTCCAAAAATGACAACATTTTGGAGGTCCCAGGTCACAAGGTGGTTAGATTGGTTGCAACTAGGATCAGGGCCTTTTCAGCTCTGGCCCCGACTTGGTGAAATGCTCTGTCACAAGAGACTAGGGCCCTGCGGGACTTGACATCTTTCCGCAGGGCCTGCAAGACAGAGCTGTTCTGCCTGGCCTTTGGTTTGGACTCAGTCTGAACCTTATGTTTTTGATCTATGGGCTGCTTTTAAAGTGAGGCTGCATTTTAAATTGCATTTTAACCTGTATTTTAAATTGGGGTTTTTTCCCCCTGTTATGTTTTTACTGTAATTTTACTGGTGTTAGCTACCCTGAGCCTGGCTTTGGCCAGGGAGGGCGGGGTATAAATAAAATTATTATTATTATTATTATTATTATTATTATTATTATTATTAGATGCTAGGTACACACCCACTTCACAATTTTGCTTATAGGTAGCCAACATGGCAGCATTGTATTTACAGCAGATGCAGAGAATAAATGTCCTTTAAGTTTTCTGAAGAAGGAAAGCACATGATTGCTTTAACAATATTGTTCTTTAAAGTGTCTGACTAACTTGTTTCGTTTCATCAATGGTTCATTTGAACAGATCAGCTGATAATGACCCTCGCTCTTTTTTACAGGCTGCTGTGTGGCTCTGCAAAAAAAAATATCAAAAAATCCTAGAATTGTAGAGTTGGAAGGGACCCAGGGGTCATCTAGTCCAACCCCCTGCAATGCATAGAATAATGCAATGCATAGAATAATATTTCTCCAGCATATTTAACCCTTTACAGGTTACCTTGTCTCAAGGGGTCTGGAGAAGATTACACAATGGTCCTATATCAATAGAAGAGGGATGCAATGAAAAAATATATTGTGTGTGTGCTTACATATGTGCTTTTAAATTATGATCAGATTTGGGGTTGGAGATCAGTTCATGAAAGCAGGCTTCTGCAAAGATGTCAGACTCTGCCCGGATGTTATATCCATATGGCAGCTGTGAGAAAGGAGCTGATGCACACCTGTTGGACTATCTGTTCAGATCTGCATCAGAATGCGTATCTAGGGATACCACCTCCTGTGAACACATAAAAAGAGCCTTACTTCTGGATCAGACCAAAGGCCCATCTAGTCCAGCATTATGTTCTCTCATTGGCCAACCAAATGCCTATGGGAAGCCTGGAAGCAGGACCTGAATCCAACATCATTCTTCCCAGGTGTTTACCAACAATTCAGAGTCCCATTGCCTCCAGCAGTGAACATAATCATCATGGCCAGTAACCACTGAAAGTCGTATCCATCATGGATTTCTCCACTCCATCCTCTCTGTACATTCTCGCTTTCAGTGGGATTTAAGGATCTCCCATCTTCATTCTGTCGTGCAACTAGTCAGACACAAATAACTTTTTGTATTTACAGAGCAAATCGATTCTATCTGGCTGCAGAAAAGATGGAGGAAAGGAAAGCAGAGCCACTCCATCAGCTCTGAGAAGCCTGCTCTATTAGTATGTTTCCGAGCACAATTCAAAGTGTTGGTGCTGACCTTTAAATCCCTAAACGGCCTCGGTCCAGTATACCTGAAGGAGCATCTCCACCCCCATTGTTCAGCCTGGACACTGAAATCCAGCGCTGAGGGCCTTCAGGCAGTTCCCTCGCTGCAAGAAGCCAAGTTACAGGGAACCAGGCAGAGGGCCTTCTCGGTAGTGGCACCCACCCTGTGGAACGCCCTCCCAGCAGATGTCAAAGAGAAGAAGAACTACCAGACTTTTAGAAGACATCTGAAGGTAGCCCTGTTTAGGGAAGCTTTTAATGTTTAATGCTGTATTGTTTTTAACACTTGATTGGGAGCCGCTCAGAGTGGCTGGGGAAACTCAGCCAGATGGGCGGGGTATAAATAATAAATTATTATTATAAGAATTATTATTAGACTTCCCCCCCCCCCCCATCATTAGCAGCAGGCATTCCATCAGGCTGCAGCAGTTCCCATCTCCATACACAAACATATTGTACTCAGTGCACAAAATTATTCAAAACTATTCTTATGGAAAGAATGCTTTAGGGGCAATTTTCACAACTTCTCAGTGGTGGCCACTCCTGGGTATGGAATACTTTTCCTAAGAAAGCTGACCTGGCAACTATATTGTTGTCCTTTTGGCACCAAACTAAAACATTTTGGTCTTCTCAGCCTTTTCAGGCAAATTTGTGGGCTTGCAAATTTCCATATTTCCGGAGGAAATTTCAGTGTTTCTAGGGAATTTGTTGCCTTCCTGCTGCTGTTGGACTACAACTCCCATCATCCCTGGCCATTGAGGACATCTGAAGGGTCCAAAATTCCCCATCCTGTTCTAGGGGCTCTGAGGTGTATTTTGCCCCACAAACTGACTTCCTCATAGAATTGTCAGACTCTCATAATAACATTGACAGTGTCTCTTAAGTAAGTGTCAGAAATGCACCGGCGGTTTTAAAAAATAATCACAGGACCTTCCTTGCCTGTATTAAAAATGTTGGGAGTAAAACTGGAATGGCTTTTAATGCAAGCTGTGTTTACTAATATGAGCTAATAAAGTCACAGAATGTTACTTCCTTATTGGACTAATGGGTATTGCATTATACTTTATTAATGATACCATATATTTTTACAGTGTGTGTGCTGTCTAATGCCAAGTTCGAATATGCAGTGTACAAAAATATGAGGATTTGCTACTCTATTAGAGTAGGGAAAAGCCATAAAAGCAGGAATTTAACTAGGAAGGAAAAAAATGCAAACGGGATATTTTTAATGAAATGGGTTTCTGGGTGTAATTGAATCACGCTTTAACTACATTTAAGCTCAGCCTGCAGTTGGAAAGAGATAGTGTCTGTTTGCCCAGGCTTTAGAAAATTTAAATACAGAAATTTTAATTTCAAACACAAAGCAGAGACCCATAAAGTATTTGCTGGAAGGGTATTTTGTTGTTTTTTTAAAGCAAAACTCACATACCCAAGCACCCTAGATCCAAATTAAGTGGTGATTTAACAATAATAATAATAATAATAATAATAATAATAATAATAATGGTATTGCTTGTTTGTTTGGATATGTTTTAATACAGTATTGGGTGGTGGGGCTGGATGGCAGTGCTCCCTTGACCTCCAGTCTCTGGCATCACAGCAACTTAGCAGGAGAGAGGGAGATGAGAAGAGGAGGAGGAAGAGGAGTTTGGACTTGATATCCCACCTTTCACTCCCCTTAAAGGTAAAGGGACCCCTGACCATTAGGTCCAGTCATGGCTGACTCTGGGGTTGCGGCGCTCATCTCGCTTTAATGGCCAAGGGAGCCGGCATACAGCTTCCGGGTCATGTGGCCAGCATGACTAAGCCGCTTCTGGTGAACCAGAGCAGCACAGAAATACTGTTTACCTTCCCGCCAGAGCAGTACCTATTTATCTACTTGCACTTTGACGTGCTTTCGAACTGTTAGGTTGGCAGGAGCAGGGACCGAGCAACGGGAGCTCACCCCATCACGGGGATTCGAACCACCGATCTTCTGATCAGCAAGCCCTAGGCTCAGTGGTTTAACCCACAGCACCACCCGCATCCCCTTCACTCCCCTTAAGGAGTCTCAAAGCGGCTAACAATCTCCTTTCCCTTCCTGCCCCACAACAAACACTCTGTGAGGTGAGTGAGGCTGAAAGACTTCAGAGAAGTGTGACTAGCCCAGGGGTCAGCAAACTTTTTCAGCAGGGGGTCGGTCTACTGTCCCTCAGACCTTGTGGGGGGCCGGACTATATTTGGGGGGGGGGGGACTGAATGAATTCCTATGCCCCACAAATAACCCAGAGAT